TGAACTTCATTTAAGGCTTCGTCGTTTATCTGCTCATCCTCGCTCAGATTCGCGTCTTCATCAGGTGGCAAAATACAAAGATCAGGCTCCTGTGCGTCATCGAGTTCGCTATCGGATAGGCTATGAAAATAGTCTAACGCAGCTTCTAACGTTAAAAACTTGCGAGGCATCTCTAGATGGTAGTTTATACCCAATAATAATTGTAAAACACTAAACGGATGAAAACTATTTCATTCAGAGTCTAATAATACTCTAAAAACACAATCGTTGATACGTATGAAACTCGGTAAAAGAAACAGATCGCAACTTCGTCGAATCGTGAAATGAAATGAGACCGCTCATCGAAAGTCCCGTGTCTTTACCTCCCCCTGAGTCAAGTGATACATTTCTAAGGAATGTGAAACACATATGCAAATCTTAAAAATTGAATAGTGTAGAAGACAAGCAGATTTCCAACTGAGAAACTGTGATTGACTAACAATAGAGCGAACGAATTACACAGAATAAGGGTGTGAAAGGCAAGCTGATAACAGATGTCCATTGAACACGCGAATGAAAGAACCAAGCCCCTGTCCACAACAAAAAACAGGGGGGGGGGCTTGTGGACAGGTGTTGTTTGCTTTCACAAAATAATTGTGAAAGAAAGAATAGAATCGCACTCAAATTTTGCGAGTTACGAAAAAACCCCTCAAATACTATACTCCAAACGCCGATGCTCCCAAATGGGAACATTTTAATTTTTACGGAAATAACTCCCTAGAAATAATAATTGGACATATTTTGGTACGTTAAAACGAACAATATGTCCCCTGGCTACTAAATAAGACCAATAAAAAAAAATTTCTATTACTAAACCGCAAAAAAAACTATAAAATTGAAAGACATTTTTCCCTATAAATGTTATTCTACATAAAAAATGTTTNTCTAACGTTAAAAACTTGCGAGGCATCTCTAGATGGTAGCTTATACCCAATAATAATTGTAAAACACTAAACAGATGAAAACTATTTCATTCAGAGTCTAATAATACTCTAAAAACACAATCGTTGATACGTATGAAACTCGGTAAAAGAAACAGATCGCAACTTCGTCGAGTCGTGAAATGAAATGATGAAATGAGACCGCTCATCGAAAGTCCCGTGTCTTTACCTCCCCCTGAGTCAAGTGATACATTTCTAAGGAATGTGAAACACATATGCAAATCTTAAAAATTGAATAGGGTAGAAGACAATCAGATTTCCAACTGAGAAACTGTGATTGACTAACAATAGAGCGAACGAATTACACAGAATAAGGGTGTGAAAGGCAAGCTGATAACAGATGTCTATTGAACACGTGAATGAAAGAACCAAGACCCTGTCCACAACAAAAACGGGGGGGGGGGCTTGTGGACAGGTGTTGTTTGCTTTCACGAAATAATTGTGAAAGAAAGAATAGAATCGTACTCAAATTTTGCGAGTTACGAAAAAACCCCTCAAATACTATACTCCAAACGCCGATGTTCCCAAATGGGAAAATTTTAATTTTTACGGAAATAACTCCCTTGAAATAGTAATTGGACATATTTTGATGCGTTAAAACGAACTATATGTCCCCTGGCTACTAAATAACACCAATAAAAAATTTTCTGTTACTTTTTTTTAAAATTAGAGACTGAAAAACTTAAGAAAATTCTAAGTTCAGAAATTCTGTAAATTTGGCCTTAAATCTATAAAAAAATTTAATGATTTTCCAAAAATTAAGAGCATCTAAAATAAATTAATACTGTTCTGTGTCATTTCAGAAAATATGACAAATGTAAACAAATAATTAGGTTAGTAAAAGAATTCACAAAAAAATGTTCCCATTTGGGAACATCGGCAGGTAAAAGATTAATTCCTACTCTTATTTTTAGGCAACAAGGACAAGAAGGTTCCCACCTCAACTATCCTCAATTAATAATGAAGATTCTAAAGGTCAAACCGACCTTAGGTACCTCGACCAACCGATACGACTGCGACTAATACAAAAATAAATTAGAGTAAAAAAACAATTTATATATTTCAAAATATCAATATTTTTTTACGTTTTGGACATTGATTTGGATCTACACAGTCACCCTGGTCATTTCTAATTAATCCTTCACGACAGAAACAACCCTTGACACATTGTGCAGTGCAGACTTGATCATTTCCTGAGTTGGCACAAGTTTGGGGACATGCAGAACCGCAATCATTATAAACTTCGTTTTTGCCGCACATTTCTGAAAGTGCTGAGAAAACAAGTTTGAAGTATCAATATAACAAAGAAAGAAATATTATTTAATTCTAGAGAATATTAAAAATATCGAAGTGAAGATAAATAAAAATTAAATTTCAGTTTTCTGCTTTTTTATAGATATATAGTACACAAAACCAAACCACAATTACAGATTTAAGTAACATTAAAAATGTTCACAACTATACCTATTAAATAAAATTGCTAATAAAACTATACCTAATAAAAATAATTATTTACTTACGTTTTGGACATTGATTTGGATCTACACAGTCACCCTGGTCATTTCTAATTAATCCTTCACGACAGAAACAACCCTTGACACATTGTGCAGTGCAGACTTGATCATTTCCTAAGTTGGCACAAGTTTGGGGACATGCCGAACCGCAATCATTATAAACTTCGTTTTTGCCGCACATTTCTGAAAGTGCTGAGAAAACAAGTTTAAAGTCCCAATATAACAGAAAAAGAAATAATATATTGTTTTAGAGAATATTAAAAACATCGAAATGAACATAAATAAAAATTAAATTTCCGTTTTCTGTCCTTTTATAGAGATATAGTACGCAAAGCCTAACCACAATTACAAATATAAATAACATTGAAAATGTTCACAACTATAACCTGACATTTTAACATGATGCTTTAAATATAAATTAATTTTTTGAATCCATCTAACAAATCATTACAAAGCAAGAATAGTCTTGAAAAAGTAAATTTCCGACGTGAAATTCGATGGTTGAAAAATAAACATGTATTTTAAACAGTTTGAAATACACAAATACGTAGTTCAACATTTGAAGATGCTCTCCAATAGCTTATATATTTCATCAAAAATAAACAGAACTAAGTCGAAACAATGTAGTCAGATTTGTTTGTGTATTTTCTTTAATTTTTTAAAGTTTCAGTACTGCTCCAGAAGGCTTACAATAATTGTTAATAATATTTTACTGTAGTTTGCCATTAACAACTGACACATATATTAGTTAACTACGATTGCCTTCTACAAAAAAAAAATCATCTTTTTTCGGAGAAATTTCTGTATATAAAAATAGTTTACTCGTTCTCATTACAATAAAATTTAGTTGCTACACTAAATTAATTTATGAATTTGAAATTATCATAGGTTTCCTACGTTTTGGACACTGAGTTGGGTGCACACATTCACCGTAATCGTTTCTAACTAATCCTTCTTCACAGAAGCAGCCTTCGACACATTGTAAAGTACAGATTTCATCTTTTCCCAAGTTGGCACAAGTTTTGGGACATGCAGAGCCGCATTTAGTATAAACTTCATGTTTACCGCAAGTATTTGATATTGCTGAGAAAACAAGTTTAGAGAATCAAAGTAACAAAAGAGAAATATTATATTACATTAGAGGATATCAAAAATGGCAAAATGAGGCTAAATATTATCTAAATTTAAATTTTTTATCTTTTATACAGAAATATTACCTTTAGCCTAAACACAATCATTGATTTAAATAACATTCAAATAACTTAGAAAAGACCTAACATATAAAAATGTCGTATCAAATATATATTAATTTTCTGAATTTGTGTCCATTGAAAGATACGAAAAATGATGCTTGTTGAAAAAGAAACTCTACTGTCAATTATATTTGATTTGAAGTTTGAAAAATGAGCATATCTTTTTGAAAATAAAAATTCATAAATATGATCTACGTTTTTTTTTAAAGTTTATGTTCTCCAACAGTCCCAAAATTATGTACACATTAACAGTCCTACAATAATGTACACATTCATGCATACACACACGTTTAATGTTTCGGCTATTCTACGCATTCCTATTTGCCTGGATTCGAAAACAGCTCTCTGATAATTTCACATGAACCTAGAAGCAGAACTGATATTGATTTTTTTTAAATAAAGTTTATAATCACTGGAGACAGAATAGCATTTGGAGTTTTTTTCGGTTATTTGTATCTTGTTTTAAAACAAAATATACAAAATTTACTTAATAAGAACAAGAAAAACCCAGGTTTGTTTTATTATTTCATATAATATATAATTTTTAAGTTTGAAGTAATATCCCAAAAAAATTATCACAATCGTTAGTAATATCCAACAGATTTTGTTTGGCCCAGTGGATACCAACCACCTTTTGGTTTTAACGACTCGGTTTCTTTCTTAATTTATTCATGCTTAATAGTATGTTCCTGTGCTTTCCGAGTTTGCATAAAAATAATATTGTTAAAACTTGCACTAGTATCTTGCACACTTCATTAATTCCTTCACTTATTTTTAGGCAACCATGTTTCCACCTCAACGATCCTCACCGAATGATGAAGAGGTAACAGGCCAAACTGACTTAGGCACCCCGAAGAACTCATGCGATTGCGACTAGTACAGATATAAGTTACTGTAAAAAAATTACTTTATTTTAAAAAATCAATATTTTCTTACGTTTTGGACATTGATTTGGATGTACACATGCACCCTCGTCATTTCTAATTAATCCACCACGACAGAAACATCCTTCGACACATTGTTCGATGCAGAATTGATGTTTTCCCAAGTTAGAGCAAGTTTGGGGACATGCAGTGCCGCATTCATAGTAAACTTCATTTTTACCGCAAGTAGGTGAGGGTGCTGTTAATACAATTTCAAATTATCAATATAACAAAAATGATAAAAATAATATATTCCTTTAGAGAATATTAAAAACATCAAAATAAAGATAAATATAAATTAAATTTCAGTTTTCTGCTTTTATAAAGATATAGTGCACTGAAACTAAACACTATTACAGATTTAAATAAAATTGAAAATGTTCACGACTAAAATCAGACATTTTAACATGATGCATTAAATATAAATTAATCTTCTGAATTCATGTAAACAGATCAACAGAACAAATCATCTTTTTTTCAAGAATTTTTTTTTTTAAAGATAGTTTACTCGCTCACTACAATTAAAATTAGTGGCTACGCTAAATAAATTTATAAATTTCAAACTATGAAAGCTTTCTTACGTTTTGGACACTGATTTGGGTGTACACATTCACCATAGTCATTTCTAACTAATCCTTCTTCACAGAAACAACCTATCACACATTGTGCAGTGCAGACTTGATCTTTTCCTAAGTTGGCACAAGTTTTGGGACATGCAGAGCCACATTCAGTATAAACTTCATGTTTACCGCAAGTATTTGATATTGCTGAGAAAACAAGTTTAGAGTATCAAAGTAACAAGAGAAAAATATTATATTACTTTAGAGGATATAAAAAATGGCAAAATGAAGCTAAATATAATCTAAATTATCTTTTATATTGAAATATTACCTTAAGCCTAAACATAATCGTAAATTTAAATAGTATTCAAATGTTTTAGAGAAGATCTAACATATAAACATGGCAAATCTAAAATTAATTAATTTTCTTAATTTGTGTCCATCAAAAGATACGAAAAATGGTGTTTGTTGAAAAAGTAAATCTACAGTCAATTCTATTCGATTTGAAGTTTGAAAAATAGGCATATATTTTTATAAATATGCTCTTATAAATTTTTAAAAGAGTTTATGTACTCCAATAGTTCAACAAAAATGTACACGTTAACATTGTTACAGATACACACACGTTTAATGTGGAAACGATTATTCGTTTTCCTATTTGCCTGGATTCGAAAACAGGTTTTTTGACAATGGTTAATCTTCCTGTTTATTTCATATGAACCTAGAAGCATTAATGTAGCTCATTTTTTTGGAAAATAAAGTTAACCACTGGCAGCAGAACAACTTTTGGAGTATTTTATGGTTATTGGTATNTATATATATATATTTTTAAAACAAAATATACAGAACTTACTTCATTAAAACTAGAAAAATGTATTTGTTTGTAAAACTGGAAAAAACGTATTTGTATACATAATATATAAATTTATAGTTTGAAGTAATATCCTGAAAATTCATCACAATTGTTAATAATATCCAACAGATTCTTGGAACTTACAAATAAGTCATGGTTAATATCATGACTCTTAATATCATAGCAAATCATAGCAAATGGTTAATATCATAGCAAATTCAAACATTTCCAGTGCTTACTTAGAGATAATAACCTTTTAACACTATTATAAAAATAAAATTTTACACTGAATTAATTTATAAACTTTAAATGTCAAAATTTTCTTACGTTTTGGACACTGATTTGGGTGTACACATTCACCATTGTCATTTCTAATTAATCCTTTTTGACAAAAACAACCTGTGATACATTGTGCAGAGCAGACTTGATCTTTTCCCAAGTTGGCGCAAGTTACGGGACATGCAGAACCGCATTCAGTATAAACTTCGTTTTTACCACAAGTATCTGGTAGTATGGAGAAAATAGGCTTTAAGAATCAATTACAACAAAAGAAGAGTACTTATTTTAGGATAACTTTAGAGGGTGCTTATATTGACAAAATGAAACTGAAAAATTATTTATAAAACTGTAATGTTCTGCTCTTTCATACAGAAATATTTGCTTGAGCCTAATTAAAATCTCAGATTTAAATTAAACTGAAAATATTTTAAATTTGTTTTAAAACAGTGATAAATTAAACAGAATTTTTGATTTAAAAATAAATTCTCCCGTTTTTTTAAATACATCAAATTTACTTGTTGCAGCGAAAAAAACTTGAGCATTATTTCGTTGCGCTGCTAAAAAAATAACAAAACTCCTTTTCTTTTTTATTCTTGGGCGTTTCAGTAACCATTGCAATATCAAATATTACAATTATCTGTTATTCCTGATTATTGGAAAAGATTTTAAGACTGATTTTTAATTTTCAATTTTTAAAAAAAAAATTATTTTTAGATCTGACATGCCTCTCTTACACTTAAATTGCACGTTTGATATCACTTTGCTATATAACTATGTCTAACTGAATTTAGGACATCACACATTATACATTTTATTTTTAATTGGCTTGGATGGTAGTATTGCAGAGAGGTAATTGCTCTCACTAATATTTTCCCTACCAATATTAAGTATAAAGAAGGCATGGAATGAGATATATTGTTTTTGTAATTTTCAGGAAATAGTGAATTGTTTTTTGGTAAAATTGAATTTTACGATAAAAAGTAAAGACACCAAAAATACTAGTATTTTGTCTTTCACAATCAACGTTTTTTAACTTTTTTTTACACTTTCCGGTTTGAGTGCGGTAGTTTAGGTAATGGGGGTTTCACCTCCCAATGAGGAGACCTAGGTTTAATTCAATGTCGTTGCAGATTGATAGGAACTCTGCTTCAGATATACTTAAAAATATATCGGTAGTTTACGGATCAAAAGTTAGAATCACTGAGTCATGGGTGGTTTTCTCGGTTTTCCTCTTTACGTAATGCAAATTCGGGTTAGTTTCACTTAAAAAAGTTTCCACGAAGTCGAGTTTGCTCCAGTATTTCCCTTGTCTTCTAGGTTATATTCAATATTACAAGGCTTCGGACTAGAATACGGATAATTGTAAACTCAGATTTGGGTGAGCTGTTCAACTCCCATTATAAAATTAAATTAAATAAAATTTAATATTTTTAAAAACTTCTTTTTTGTAACTTTTGAACAACCTGTGCTTGGTAAAAGAGGATATAAAGTAATTTGATTGATGAGTAATTCGGTAAGTAATTTATATAATAAAGTAATTTAATTAATAAAGTAATTTAATTAATAAAGTAATTTAATTAAATTAATTTAATACAATATGCAAGGGGTAAAAGGTACCTGAAATGTGTACCGAGCTTCCGGGGGTATAGCCGGGCCCCCTTCCCCTGAGGATTACATCAGGGCACTGGTCGTCCAGTTTGGTCGTGGGGCCAACTACAATACCATGTAAAAGAACCCCAGTTCAGAAACCTCAACTAATTGCATATATCGGCACCATTTTATCCAGACGACTCGGCATGGAAAGGGACTTGAGATTTGGTGCATGGAACCTCCGCTCCCTACAAAATTTACGCATGTTTTTGACAACTGTAAGTTAGATATTCTTGCAATTCAGAAAATCAGATGGTTTGGAGAAGGAATTTCTGAAAATAGGGAATGCAGTGTATATTACAGCTGCCATGGCAAATCACATCATTTTGGTGTTGGCTTCATCTTGAACCAAAGACTCAGTAGGGCAGTCATTGACTTTCAGGCTATAAGCATGAGACTCTGTAAAATAAGACTGAAAAGAAGACATTACAACATAAGCCTGATTTGTGCTCATGCACCGACTGAAGAGAAAAACGGTATGGAAAAAGACTTATTTTACAACCTGCTGATGGAGAGCTATAATTCCTTCCCTGCACAGGACAAGAAAATAGTATTTGGGGACTACAATGCTATGATCGGATTTGTTAGACGCCACGCTGGTGCTGAAAGCCTTCACTACGATACTGATGGAAATGGACAGGGACTTTTTGACTTTGCTGACTCGGAAAATCTGTTCATCACAAGCATGGCAATCCCAAGTAGAGATATACACAAGAATGCTTGGTGGTGCCTGATGGGTTAACTCTTAACCAGATCGATCATATACTTGTGGATATGAGACACCGTAGCAATGTAATAGACGTGAGAAGTTTTAGAGGAACGCAAGTCGATATGGGCCGTATCCTTGCGATATCCAAAGTGAGACTCCGAATATGTTATAATTTCAATCACAGGAGAGAAATCAGAGATTTTAAACCTGACATTTCTGAATTAAATGATCAAAATATTCTTAAAGAATATAAAATTAACTTAGCAAAAGTAATTGTTGAATAAGAAGGGAAACAAGGCTTTACTTTTGATTGGTACGCAATAAAAAATACCATTTTGAAATCTGCACTTGAAGCTATCCCATACCTGAAATGACTGACCTAAAATGAGTGGTTTGACTATGATTGTAGAAAAGTCACAAAACACGAGAGCAAAGCCTATAGATTAATGCTACAAAAGCATCTCACAACAGTTTCCCAGGAAAAATATAGGAATCTGAGATGACTAGAAAATAAACTAAGGAGAAAAAACGGACACCCCTCCGCACAATTGTTAAGAAAAGAATAAAATATTTATATTATTTTTTTTATAAAATTAATATAAAACTATAAGAACTAAATGTGATTTTCATAGAAACTGAATAATTGCTTCAATTTAAATAAAATTCTATTAAGAAAGATTAAAAAAATAAATTTAAGAAATCTTAAAAGCTAGGCAATATGCAATGGCTATAGTGGCATCACAAAACGGTTCTGCATTTTCCTCCCTACGTTCCAACATAAAGATAAATAATATTTTTCGATAGCGTTTTCGCAGCAGCTTACAAGCAGTACTTTTACAAATCACGCTTGAATATCGTAGCACGTAACAACATGATTCATTAACATTTTATTAGCTTACAGTACTGTTTCTATATTTATAGCTGTTCAAATATTTATTTTTAAATTTTTTTCATTATATTGTTAACCATTTGCTTCAGGCTACTCTTGATCAAAGTATTCACATAATAATAAATGCTCTATAATATTTAGATTGATTCAACGATATAGGGAGCAGGAGACATGATTTTGTCAAACAGTTTCGTAAATTGTTCCACTTACAGATTTATGAAACAAATTTTAGAACTTAGAGTAAAAACATTGTTACCATAAAAATAACCTATCTAGATTAAAGTACTTTCTTATTAAAATATTTCAAATGAAATTGTCAGTGATTTCTGTTACGAAACATGTTGTGGAACATGTTACGAATTAGGTATCATTCCTATAGTTCAGGCATACAATTCTTACACTTTAGTTGAATGTTTCAAACCATCGTGTAACGCAACTTAGGCCAACAGAACTTCGGGCATACCATTATGTGTTTTCCATTTCATGGTTAGCGCAACCGCCAACAGAATGCAGAAAGGTATTTGAAACCATGAACTACTGCTCTGCAAAATATTTCCTCAACCAATGCAAAAATTAAAGAAAATATAGTATGAATGAAATAGTTTTCATGCAAATTACACTAATTAGTTTAGTACCATTTTTCAGACATTCTGGACAACATCTACATTTTGGTATTCGCATCTCGAAACCATCTGGACAGTTTTCTGGTATGGTTGGACAGTTGTATGATCCTGAGCAATCAGTTTGGCAATCATCTGGTTCTGCAGTTGCCACATTTGATGATGATTAGTTAAAGGAATGATATCAATAAGTTAATATATAAAAAGATTGAAAAGTTTAAATTAGCGGCATTTATTAAGATTAGTTGATCTTGATAAAAAACGTCATTGGCTTCAAAAAATTTGAAAATGTTTTTTAAAAAAATGTCGGAATGTTTGAAGCGTTCTAAAATAGGCGCTTATTTTCTCAATTTACAAAATATGAATGAAGAAATTTGAAACAAAACATTTTAAGTTTCCCCCCAAAAATTAAAGCTTAACGGAAAAAACAAAATAGAAAAACCACGGTAGCCTGAGAGTAAAACGTAAAAAATTAAGTTGAAAAGAAAATGATGAAAAAAACTCTAAAAACTGCTATGGCCGAGTGTTGCAAATGAGAGGTGAATGAATGTCCATGCGCTCTATGAGGAGGTGTTGAAGAACGCATGTTATTAACAAGAGAATCGGCAATTATATGTATGAAAAAAATTCCAGGGCTTCAAGATGATCTGATGTGGCAGAGGTAAAAATAAATTCGGCCGTATCGCTCAGTAATATTTTTATTATCATCATATTTCTGAAGCCATTGAAGTTTTTAATCAATCAAACAGTTTTATTCCTTTTACTTGGGATTGTTTATCTTAAAGATTTTCTTGTTTCTAAAATTATCTCACAGCGGAACAAACAGTATTAATCCTTCAAAATCCAATTCAAAATATTAATTATTCATAACTTAGTACAGTAAAATTAGAAAAATTACTTTTTATTGGTTCGCACGTATCGCAGCAACCGCAATCAGACCTCACTGGCGCGGAACCTTCAATGCAGTTAATTAGTTTACATTCATTCCCGTTACAATCGATGGCTGCGCACACTTCTGAACCTGGGAGTGCTATTTGAAGAGACGAAAAAAAGAGAATATTATAAAGGTAACAGCATATAGCTTGAAGATAATATTTATTTACATGTGGCAATGCATTTAATGTCGTATGACCATCACAGAAGTTAAAAGATATCGTTGCACACAAATAATTCACAACTAGTTAAGCAATATAAAATGAAAACAAAAGCTATAAAAAAGTTTTTACCATCAATATAAAACAGAAAATGTGCGCATAAAAGATCCCCACACAATTAGAAATTTTTTGGAAAAAATAGTCAAATAACAATTTATTTAATTGCTATTTCACCTTATACAAATAAAATTGTTAAATAACCATCAATCTATTTACTGTGAGAAACACTGTTTCTCCTAATACGGTTAAACAAATAGAATTTTATCGCACCAACTAGACGAGCTAATGAAGACACTTAATTCCTTGCAGCTGGGTGCTTAATATAACCAAGATTGCTAATCAGTCAATCTCATAACCGGGGTTCATTTTCCAGCGTTGACAACTCAATATTTTAGTCATTTCTTTCAACACAAAAAGTGTTTTCAGTGTTATGCACTCCCCAATTAGTGACCCTTGACTATTGGAATACGATACTCTCATTCACGCAAATACACCGAAGAGCCATTACATTATGATCACCCTCCATCTATAACAATGGGCTCGCCCTGGTTTTCATGGTTTCTTACCCAGGAACAATGTTTTCATGGGGCCCATCAGGACCCATAATCCTCATAAAACAATCCCTGACGTCTCTAAGCTACTTGAACATAGTTGCAGACCAGGTTCACCCATTCATGGCAACAGTTTTTCCTGCGGGGAACGGTGTTTACTTACAGGATAATGCACCGTGTCATAAGGGTCGAATCGTCATGGATTGGTTCGAGGAACATTCCAGTGACTTTCAAGTCATGTCTTGACCCCCAATTTCACCTGATCTTAATCCAATAGAGCGTTTGTGGTCCTACTTGGAAAACCAAATTCGTGCTACCACGCTACCCCCTCGCAATGGGAGGGAATTTCAGGACCAGTTGGTGAGCGCTTGGTACCAGATACCTCAGACTACCTATCAGCACCTTGTGGAATCAATGCCACGGCTGATGCTAGCAGTTTTAAGGGCTAAAGGTGGTCCTACATGTTATTAGCAGGGTGGTCATAATGTAATGGCTCTTCGGTGTAAAGCAGCGCCGTAAAGCTGTCTTTCACAAACATATCACTTATCACAATGTTTTTAGTTAAGTATCAGAATTTTCCTTCTCTTGCGATAAGTGAAAAAAAAAGGTAAACTAATTAAATCACATTTCATGGTTCATTTGATAAAACGCAAACCAAAACCTAACTGCAATGCCCAGTACCTAATGAAAGGCCTATATCAAATTTCCAGCTAAATTTTTCGATATATTTGAAGCCATACTTGTTGTAAATGTTTTTAAAAAAACGTATAGTTTGTATTCATGTTTTTTTTTAATATACTAGTTGTGAGCTATTCCACAACCGCAAAAGTTAAAAAAAATATTCTTTGCCTTTAAATTGGAGGAGCAGATTGCTGTCGTTTATATTACCATAATTTTAGAATGGAAATTAAAAGTGTTTAGTAAAACATTTCAAACCATTATACGGCACAACTTCTAACGAAACTCGGAACATACTTTTATGCGATTTTCATTTGATTGGCATAATTAGTGGGACCACTAACAGGATACGAAAGGGTAGTTGCTGTAATTCAGTGGTTCTCAAATGGTGTTCCGCGAAACCCTAAGCTTCCTTCCAAAGGTCCTAAGGGTCGATTGCACCATTTGATGATGATTAGTTAATACAATGATATCATTACGTTAATTTATAAAAATATTGGAAAGTTTATATTTATGTGAGTAAGACTAATTGTTCTTGATAAAAAACGTCATTGGCTTCAAAATATATAATAAAGGTTGAAAAAAATATCGAAAGGTCGATTAGAACTTTTTTACGAATTTTAAATGAAAGCATGTAATTAAATTTATATACGAGTAATAACTAAATATTTATTTAATATTTTTGTCTTTTTGTGAAATTATTCAATTAAAATGCTTATAAAGAAGGAAAATTAAAATTAAAATAGTTCTAACAACACTATATTGGATGAATAATGAAAAGGACTCATTTCTGAAAGAATTCATTAGTATTTCGCATAGAAACAAAATAACCAAATTCATCAATAAAGAAATATAACTCTCTCAAACCATCCACAACGTTCAAGTCCGATATTTTTTGTCTGTATTTCAATGAAAAACCAAGTTCTAACTCATGTATGTTCAGTTGATGCATGCAGACGCTAATAAATTGGAAGAATTTATGCTACTTCAGACATGTAAACTCATCTATTTTATATAACAATATTGATAGAACGATGCGATGAAGAAATTTCATTGTTTATTCACTCGCTAAATACTCTGAAAATATCAAAAAATATATATTTAATGTTTAATACTAAATACGGTATACTCTGGATATCTCGAAGTAAAAATGTCACTAAAAAATTTCGAGATAGCGAGTATACGAGATAACAAGTTCAGAACTAAACATTTTCTAAAAAGTAGAAAAATATATTCAAAAACACTTCGCTAAAAATGGAGTCCTGATACAAGAAAATAACTAAGAATAAACATGTTTGTATTGATAGTTGACTATAAGTCTAAATACTACAATGATAATTTTATTTTTAAAAGTAAGGCGAAAATAATTATGCATTAAATTGAAAAGAATTGGTTTATAATAAATTAACATTGTGATTTTTTCCGAAAATAATTGTTTTTCTATTTCTTAAAAAAATTTACATACCAAGGTTTTGAGCAGAAACACTTAATTTATATTAACATTAGGAGGATATATAATGACAAGAGGAAAATATTATTTGATGCAACAATTCTTTTTGAGGCATCTAAGCTCGAAATATCGAAACTATTCTGATCTTCAAAATTTTAATCGTTAAATAATTTCCTTTATTTTTAAATAAACCTCGTTGTTCCTCAAAAAAAAAATGATGAATCAGTTAAGATTTCATAGCCGTTTTATTCGATTCCATAGAACATTTTCCTCAATCTACATGAAATATAAAGAAAATATAGTATGAATTATATAGTTTTTCATAATTTTCATCAAACAGTATCTTTTTTCTGGCACACTGGATAGCAAGAACATTTTAGTGTTACCAACTCGTTACCTTCTTTGTAGTTTAGTGGTATCGCTGGAAAGCTGACAATCATTGGGGCATTCATTTGGTTATGAAGTTGTCACATTTGAGGAAGGTCAGTTAAAAGAAAGACAACAGTATGCAAATTTATAAAAAAAAATATTTAAATTAGCGTGAGTGAGATTAATTGTTCTTAATAAAAATGGTTTCACACACTTTTGAACCTGGGTTTGCGATGCAAAGAAAAAAAAAGCATATTATGAAGGTAAAAGCTTTAAATGTAATATTTATTTATATGTGACAGTGCATTTAATGATCTATGATCATGGCAATAGTTAAAAGATATCACTCCTCACGAATAATTCTCAATTAGTTAGATAATTGTTTCTACGCCCGTTGGCTTCTTGGCGTCATTGTTCTCAGCCAAGTGTCAGTTAATGTACAACAACCAAAGAGTATACACGCTCGTGTTGTCTCTCCGCACAACACCTACTAGAAGTAGAAAGGCCTCAGCACGGATCAATTTAGTAGTCCGATGTGACGAAGTTAACTGCGCAGTAGACGAAAAATAAGAAAGATGTCATTACGTTAGGGGTACTAAGCTGCGCAGTGTTTGAAAATACAAAATATGTCATTACGTTTGGACTACTAAGGGATATTTATGGTAACCCGTGCTGAGGCCTGTTCTTTCTAGGAGGTGTTGCTCCGCAGCGCTACCAGCGCATCCCTCAAATAAAGTGTTTACAGTCCATAAAGGTATAATTGTCCAGGCTGAATTTTATACGCATTGCAATCTATCGCAGAACAATAATATAAGTTATAAAATGAAAAAAAAGCTCATGAAGTGCTTTTACGATCAATATTAAGCAGCAAGGCATGCGTAAAAAGTCACCACTCTGTTAGAAATTTCCCGGAAAATGGAATATAACAATAAAATTTTTTAATTTCTTATTTCACCATATTCAAATAAAACAATCAAATAACCATAAATAATACAAACTCTTAATTAAGAAATAAATCCGTTTATTAACTGCTTTCAGCTAATATGGCTGTCTATCTAATTAAGACACTCAATTGCGGCTGCAGACATATTGCAACCCAGAGAGCTAATCTGTCTAATTTTTAAGATTTCCAATAAAAGAAATAAAACAAAGGGGAAAAATAAAATATAGTAATCGCGATTGCCAATGAGTGAAACATAAAAAATATATCTGAAAAAATAATAGGGGGAAATAAAATAGAAAAACTGTTTTAGCTGAAAATAAAGGCAAAATGAATTTCCTCGCTCTAAGGAAAAGTGATGATGAACTTAGGTCTTTAATAAGAGAATTGGCATTCATATGAATGAGACAAGATTCCAGGGCATTAAGATGAGCTGATGCTGCAAAACATTGCATTGTCGCACAATATTTTTCTTCACACATTTTTTGAAGCCAATGAAGTTCTTAATCATTCATGCATTTCCATTTCTTTTTCTTGGTATTATTTATTTAAGATTTTTTGTTATTAAAATTATAATATCATGGGAATAGCTGTTGAAATTATTTATCGGTTAATAGCTGTTATCAAACATAATGTTAATGTTATTCAGCTGTTAATATTATCAAACATAAGTATTAATTTCAACATAACATAGTGCACGTATAATAAATGCATTTACTTTTCACTAGTTCACATTTATCGCAGCAACCACACCAAGACCTTACTGGCTTGTAACCTGGAGCACAATCAACTGCTGGACATGGACTTCCTCTGCAATCAACGGTTTCGCACACTTCTGAACCTGGGGTCGCTAGGTAAAAAAAATAGGCATGAAAATACTTAATTTAAAGATTTAAAGAAAATATTAAGTTACTTGTGCGCATTGCATCAGTCTCTGATAAGCAAAAATAAACAATGTATGGCTGCGCAAATTTCTAAGAACGTGTTTAATTTTTGTGAACATGACAGCATTTGAAATATACCGTTTTATACAAATAGGGCACAACAGCATTTTAATAACAGCACTAAAATTAATACAAAATGCTGAAATCTAAATACCAGAATTTTTTGCCGTAATTTTTTACAGTAATAATAATAGTGATTGGATTATATTAAATTAAATATTGTTGTAAAAATTATGAGGCATCAGATTATTAGTACATAAACTTTTACTGTAAAATATAGATTTCATGTAAAAACAAACACGTTACCTGAATTCTGACATATTTTACCATAATTTAATCAGGAATTTTTTACTGTGCACGTAATTATTATTAGATAAGCGATTACAACAGAAGCTTAAGAAATAGTTATACAATCAATATTAAGGAGCAAGTACATTGAGCAAAAAATTCCACCCTGAATAACTTTTGATCTAATGATCGGATTCTTAAAGACTAGAGAGGGTAACCTCAAATATGCTAATTAATAAATGCAGAGGATGATTTATGTTACAAAATTAGTCATCAAACCTCGCTTTCTCTGAATAAACATACTTTTTATTCGAAGGATTTGGATTGCTGACCTCTGAAATCTAAGAAGTAGCCGCAATCTGGGATATATTATCACAATAGTTTGGTTAGGAGAGTGTTCTAAAGATTGAACCCATAATGTCAATTTAAATTTTTTCTTCTTTATCTCAAGAACTTTTTAAGCGAATAGAAAATTTTTTACACACAGTTATTAAATTAGTTTATCCAAAGATAATTCGATGCCAAAAATACATTTTAGTAAATATTTATTAAATTTCATTATTTTATTAAAAATGGTCGGAAAATATTTTAACTGTAAGGTATACAATTTCTTGCATCTTTTTAAAGAATATATTTTAGACAGCAAAATACAAAATTTGTGAATAGTTGCGAAATCGAACTTTATGTATCTGACTTTTTTTTGAAATTTAATACTTTGGAGCTAATTGGAGCTATTCGACCAATTTTGCTCAAATTTTGTATTTTGTTAAATAAAATTAATTTTTTTAAATGATGTGAGAAATTGCATTCCTTACAAGTAAAAATGTTTCAACCATTCTTAAATAAAATTATAAAAAATATAACATACTTGTTAAAAAAATACTTTTTGCATGGCATTATCTTTATCTAAACGAATTTCATAATTGTAAGTAAAAATATTTTACATTCGCTTTAGAAGTGCACAATATATAAAGAAATACTCAAGAATTAAAATTAACATCCTAACTTAAGAGCACACTCCAGACCAAACTATTTTTCTTAAAATTAAGTTTCATTTAAACAACTCCTCATACTCCACAATGTACAACATGAGGCTTACAGAAGTAAGTGGGCAAAGTACAAAAGAAAAAAGCTGCAAAGAAGCAGAATGAGAATTAAAAGTTTAAGCTGTTTACAAAATTTCGCAAAATAGTAAGCTATTCAGTGCACATAACTAAAGAGGATAAAACAGGTGGGCAATAAATAACTGAAATTCTCAACTCCTTTTCAAACTTTCTCTTTGGCTTGAGTATAACTTACAATAAAAAAATAATATGTTCAACAGCTTCAGAGTCCTGTTCACGTGAGAAAAGATTATCATTAATCAAATTAAACTTAAACAAGTAACTTTTAAAATTACCGTGACCAGTAAGAATCTAGGACAGCTTAAAGTCAGTAGAAAAAGTTTTACTCCGATGAAAAATAGTTGGGAAGAATTTTTTAGTCCACCCAGCTTTTGGGGGAGCCAAATATTCTTTGTTCCAGTCAAAACAGTTATTTCCGAAGCAACATGTTCCCAATGTAAAAGCGGGACAGACATAAGCAAATCAATATCAAGGCTAGTCGCATCCTTGGCCAACTGATCTGCTCTATCATTCCCGAAATCACCATTATGGCCTCGAACATAAGCAAAATTGATGTTAGCAACTCCATCAAGGGCATTCACTATGGACTGAATGCCGACAACGAGTTTCTCCACAGCATCTGTATTAAGCAGCAACTGAAGAGAAGAAAGTGAATCAGAGCAAACAAGATATCTATGACTCACATTATGCACAATAGAGAGAGGGAGAGAAAATTTACGATAAGATTAATGTACAGCAGTTCGGCTTGAAAAACTGAGCACTCGTCTCTTATTCGATGCTGGAGAATAATTTTTCCTCTCCGTCTTCATAAATAACGTAGGCAAGCTCAACTTTCCAATTCAATTTACTTCAATCTTGTAACAAATAGTATTGTGCTCAATAAGGGTTTCCTTGGAATACGACACAAGCGTGATGGGCTTCCTGCTTGAAGGATGTGGCAAGAAAGATCCCGGTTGCTTCCAATCAAGGGTGTCACGACAATTACTCAAATAGTTTTCTCTAACTTTGGTTTGAAGTTTGCTCACAACTAAATCAATAGGTGGCAGACCAGAAATAGCAAATACTGTTTATAACTATAAGTCCTGTATCCTTTAATGATCCGAAGCAGAAATATCCGTTGAGTCCTCATAAGAAGCCTGTAATTAATTTTTTTCCTTAAGGAATGCCTACAAGATCTCGAAGCATAAGATATAAGAGGAATGATTGCCTGTTTATAGATCAGTCTAAGAACATCATATTTCACATTTCATCATCATCGTTTTCGTTTTTTTTTTAAAACAAAACATACAAAACTTATTTAATTAAAACAATAAAAAACATATTTCTTTTATTATTTCATATAATATATAATGTTTAAGTTTTAAGTAATATCCAGAAAATTTATCACAATTGTTAGTAATATCAAACAAATTTTTGGTACTTACAACTAACTCATGATTAATATCATTACTCTGTCCACAAGCAAATTCAAACGTTTTCAGTGCTTGCATAGAGATAATTAACTCTTTACACAATTATAAAAATTAACTTTTATACTGAATTAATTTAAAAATTTTAAATATCAAAATTTTCTTACGTTTTGGACACTGATTTGGGTGTACACATTGACCATAGTTATTTCTAACTAATCCTTTTTGACAAAAACAACCTGCGACACATTGTTCAGTGCAGACTTGATCTTTTCCCAAGTTGGCACAAGTTTTGGGACATGCGGACCCGCAATAATCATAAACTTCGTGTTTACCACAAGATGGTGCTGAGAAAACAAGTTAAGAAAGTCAATGTAACGATAAAGAAATAATATATTATTTTAGAGGATATTAAAAATGGCAAAATGAAGCTGAATATAATCTAAATTTTAATTTTTTCTCTTTTATACAGAAATATTACCTTTAACCTAAACACCATCATAGATTTAATTAACATTCAAATGACTTAGATCTAACATTTAAAAATGTCGTATCAAACGTAAATTAATATTCCGAATTTGCAAAAGATACTAAAAATGATTTTTGTTGAAAAAGTAAATCTACAATCAATTCAATTGGGTATAATATGAAAAAAACACAACTACTTCGATTTTGTAGGAACAACATATGACGCAATGCTAAACGAATGGAATTTAGTTGTTGTTTATTTAGTTATTGTTATTAGTAGTTGTTGTTATTTGTTTTAGTTGTTGTTGTTTATTTAGTTGTATTTAGTTTCAATAACTTTTCTTTATAATGCAATAAAATCTGGCGAGCAGCTATTTAACGATCGAACACTTCGTTTGTTTATTTGTTGCTTGACGTTAGACTCGCAGAAAATGCCGTTCATGGGTTAAATTTAGTAGGAATAACACAACCTGTGACGTAGGCTATATTATACCCAATTTGATTTGAGGTTTGAAAAATAAGTTTGTTTTTTTTTAAAAATATAGAATTCATAAATATGCTCTGAGTTTTTTTAAAGAATTAATGAGGCGCGATTATTCGTTTTTCTATTTTCCTGGATTCGAAAACAGGTTTTTTGACAACTGTTAATCTTTCTGTTTACTTCACATGAACCTAGAAGCAGTATTGGTATTCATTTTTTTTAAATAAGGTGAATCGCTGGAAAGAGAACAACTTTTGGAGTATTTTTCGGTTACTTTTTTAAAAAACAAAACATACAAGACTTACATCATTATAACAATAAAAAACATATTTGTTTTATTATTTCATATAATTATTCGAAAATTTATTGATTATCATTTATCTGAATCGAAAATTTATCACAATTGTTAGTAATATCCAACAGATTTTTGGCACTTACAGCAAACTCATGGTTAATATCACTTCACTGTTCACAAGCAAATTCAAACGTTTTCAGTGCTTAAATAGAGATTCATTTCAAATTGAACTCTTTACACTAATATGAAAATAAAATGTTACACTGAATTAACTTATAAATTTTAAATATCAAAATTTTCTTACGTTTTTGACACTGACTTGGTTGTACACATTCTCCGTAGTCATTTCTTACTAATCCCTTTTGACAGAAACAACCTTTGACACATTGTTCAGTGCAGACTTGATCTTTTCCCAAGTTAGCACAAGTTTTGGGACATGCAGACCCGCATTCAGTATAAACTTCGTTTTTACCGCAAGTATCTGGTAGTATTGAGAAAATAGGCTTGAAGAATCAATTTCAATAGAAAAGTGATTATTTTAGGATTAGAGAGTATTCATAATGGCAAAATGAAGCGAGTATTTATAATGGCGAAATGAATTTTTTTTTATTAAACTGTAATGTTCTGCTTTTTTATACAGAAATATTTAATTGAACCTAATTACAATCTCAGATTTTAATTAAACTGAAAATATTTTAAATTAGTTTTAAAACAAAGATAAATTAAACAGAATATTTTTTGAATGACAATAGTCGAGTTTGTTCCATTACTTTTCCCTGTCTTCTGGATTATATTCAATATTACAAGGATTCGGACTTCAACATCAACTAATGGACATGTCGTACTTTAAGACCTTTAAAACGTTATACACTGTCAAAAAGAAGCTAAGGACCATTTCTTAACTAAATACTAAATTCCTCATCTCGTGGTAGACGCTTATAATAAAGATTTCAAAATTGTAAACTCCGTTCGAAAGCTATTATAGTGCTCCAATTTTTAATTAAACTGTATTTTTGTCATCAGAAGACTTCAACCTTCTTCCTCCAAAAATCAAACGCTTCATAGCGCTTTAGTATAAATTCTTTACTGTATATGAGATGTAGTTTTTTTGTAGAATTTAAGTATAATTTTTTACGGTTTGAGACACATCTGAATTCTGTTATGAAGGGGGGATATTTATCCTAGAAAAATGAATAAAAATGCTTAAGAAAAACTGATTTATTATGTAAATCTTAAAATAAAGAACATGGCAGTTTTCCAAAATTATAAAATAAGGAAACAAGGTCACTTAAAGGGGTAAAAAAATCTTACTTATTCTCTCATCAAGAAATAACCGTTTATTAGTGCTTGGGTGGAGGGCATAAGCCCCCAGTCCTTACGCTCAGAAATGAAAATTATGAGTAAATTGAATTGATCCTAAACGGACAGTTAGGAGAATGAGATGAGTGCCACGTTTGGCGATTTAACGAAAGATAACATAGACAAAAAATAAAGCCTACCCCCCTTATTAATATTAAATTTAAAACTATTTTTACGAAGGCTAATAGCCAAAAGACTATGAGAGTTATAAAGAGTATTATTAAAGAGTTATAAATAGAATTTTATTAGAATAGAGAATAGAACAAAACCCCATAGAAATATCCTATGGCATTTTTTTATGGCAATCCTATGGCTAATTTTCCTAAGGGTTTTTAAACTATAATTTATTTAATTATAGTTTTTGTATATAATTTAAAAAGAAGATTTCAAAAAAGCAATAATTCAAGAAACAAGCAATGGAAACATGACAGTGAGAAACAATATATCTAAACCTAAAAAAAAAGAAGAAAGAAATGAAATAAAACAAGAAAAAAGTTTATGAAAAATACTCAACTGAATTATAAAACACAAATTATAAAGATCATATAGAGGAAAATAGTAATAATTACTTTATATTTTTTGCACTCATTACATCATTTACAAGGAGTTTTGGCAGATGTGTAAGACGAAGAAAATTTTATCAATGGGCAAAGAACTGCTTTACAGTTAACATCACAAGGTAGATTAATATTAATAATTAAGAAAAGCAAGAAAATAAGACTAGATAAAATATTAAAACAAGAATATAATAGGCGAGATATTAACTAATAAATAATTAGTAATAGTAATAATTAATCAAACAAAAATATTCAAAAATTAAATAAACAAAAACTTATTCGTACAATGTGCTAAAAAATACACGGACCACCTGGAATAACTTTTATCTAATGATCTTCACGTTCTAGGACTCAATCTTATTGGTGCAAGGAGGTGACTTCAAATATGCTAATTAATTAATGCAGACGATATTTTTAAGTTATGCAATCAGACACAAAAGCGCTGTTTCCCAGAATAAACAAATTTTTTATGATGGATTCGGATTTCAAACCCCCAATACATAGGGGGGGTGTAAGGCCTCATTAGTTTGGTCAAGAAATAGGTTTGGTTAGGATCCCTTAATGTAAATTTTATTTATTGTCTATTTCGTCATATCCTGCGTATTTTAAGCGAATGGAAAAGTTGCTGCTCGCAATTATAAAAATTTGTTTACCCAAAGACAATTGAAACAAAAAAATAATTTTTAGTTAATATTTATTTGAAGTCCAAAAGTCTATTCGATCAATTGTGCTCAAATTTAGTATTTTGCCGCCTTAAAATTGCATTCTTTAACTATAATGTAAAAGTGTGCATACCTTACAAGTCAAATTTGTTTTGGACTAATACCAAGTAAAGGAACAAAAATTTATTTTTTAATGTTATTTATAATTTTTTTTTGCATGGAATCTTTGGATAAACGAATTTCATAATTAAGTGCCATACTTTTTAATTCCGCTTAAAAATTTCTCGAAATATGGCAAAATACACAAAAAAAAAAATATTTATTAATTTGTCCAAATGTTGGACCGCTCTCTTGACTGAACTATTAGGACCATATTTCTCATATATAGTCAAGA